GGTTGGTGGCAGGAGGCCGTGGTGGGACTGCAGTACTTCCTGCTGGTGTGGTGGCAGCTTTAGGAAGCGTAGCAGGGGCAGGCAGCTCTGAGGTCAGGGGCGGTGTGGGGTTAGGGGAAACACTCTGGAGCACGGGCAGAGCGCTGGGATTGTGGGCTGTGGTGCCAGAGCTGCTCCTGTTTTGGAGATCCCTCAGGGTGAGCCGGGGGGGTGGTTGCTGCTTCTCCCTGTAGGGAGAGAGAGCAAGGAGTGGAATGGGGCATTGAAATGTTGTGTCCAGCACCCCAGAAATGGAAACCATGTGGAGAGATGCGAGGCTGCACTACCCCTGCTTACCATCGCACTTGTTGAGACTCTGGAGGCAAAGACTGTTGCAGCAGAGTCTTGCCCAGGAGGTCCAGGTCATCCAGGCCACTAGTGAGAGGAGAAGGTTTGGGGGAGGATGCGCCAGCATCTACTTTGACTGGTGGCGTTGCCGTGATAGGGGTGGTACTGAGCTCGTTGCTATCTGATGACTGTAAAAAGAGTGCACAGGAGAGCCCCCCAAGCAGGGTTGCGTATCAGCACCAACCATCAGACACGGGACACTTCCCTACCTACTCCATTTGTTGCTTTCACCACCCTCCCCACCTTCTGCCCTGGCTCCTAGCACGTTACCTGGAAGCTGTTCCAGCCACTGCTGTCACCAGCCTGGGCAGGATGTGGTGCTGGGTCATTCAGGCCTGCCAGGGGTAAAAGGAAACATGAAGCTTAGCTACCAAGTGCATAAAAGCATTAAACAGGGCCTGAATAAGACACAGAAGCAGCAGGGCAGAACCACCAATGTGGTCTCCATCTCTGGCTCCCACCTTTGCATGGGGAAGAGCTGGGAGCATGACAGTGTTTTTTCTGCCCAGAGATCCTCATTTACAGTCTAGTTCTCACTGCAATTGGCAGAAAACTGAATACTACTGGGCTGACAAGCTCCACTGACCACGTTGGCTACTTCATGCTGATGTACTCAAAGCACCTATCTTAGGAAACAGACACTTTGTTGGAAAAAGCAGGATTCTAGAGCCTTCTAGGACTGACACCTCACAAGACTTGCATGTGAACAGTTCTGGAAGTCCCACGCGTCTGTTGTTAGCTCATGACTTCAGCTGCAAGGAGTAAACATGAAGAGCTGGGGGTGACCCACCCTTGTGATCCCATCTCTGGATGGCCATTGCATCACTCTTGATTTACCTGCCAGGTCAGTTTTCCCGGAGCAAGTCAGAGGGCACATCCCTGCAGGCTCTCTTGGACTAGTCAAGAAAACACCACAGGACTGAAGTTCAGAATCATAGCGGGGACTTTCCCTTCTTCTCCCTCACACTAAAGTGAAGGCCACCTCTTGGTCTTTCATTATTCACCTCTCCCAGAGCTCTCCCCCATTCAAGCTCCTGCCACAAGGAGAACCATTCAGGCAGACTGTTGAGTCAAGGAGAGAATAAAGAGCTTTTGCTCTGGCCTCACCTAAAGACATGAGTTCATCATCCAGCAAGGAGACAGAGCCAGCTTGGTCAGGCACGGGGACTGCTGAGCCACCTGAAAGGGTGGGCAAGGCTGGGTAGGAAGGGCCTGTTGCTGGGAGATCCAGGCCCGACAGATCCAGAAGCGCTGAGGTGCTGCCTGCAAAGAAGGAACAAGCTGAGAGACAGAAACCTTATCCAGTCCTTAGCCAGTATGCTGAGGCCAGTTCCCATCCTTCCTCACACCTGGGAGAGGGAATTCCCCCTCTGCTCTCCCTTCCAATTCCCCCTCTTTGTGCATCAGTCATCTCTACAAGCCATTTCTTCATCTCACCAGACCCACTCTGACCTCCTGCAGGTTTCACCTTTCCACTTCTATCAATCTTCTCTGACATTACAGGAAACGAGCAACAGGGTCCCTCTGCTTGACCTTCCTGTCCCCATTCCCCAAGGCTCCTCACCTCGAAGGGGACCAGCCACTGTCTCCCCATTGATCTCTTCTCCCCGCACAAGCTGCTTGTAGAGATTGATCACCTGTGTCAGATTGTCATTGGCTTGCAGGATCTCCGCTGAAATGGAATAGATGGGAAGTAAGTTCAAAAATCATGAAGAAACAAAGAGAGTGACTTTTATACCCCAACTCTGTCTATTCCTTCAAAGCAAGGCGCAAGGAGCTGACAGCAGCCCACTGCAGATAGCATTTTTGCAATTGTTGCTGCAAACTGTATCAGGGTACATTGACACGTCCATGGCAGTCTCAGCAGGACAAGCACAAGCATTGTTCCTACAGCAAAGTGGAGGAAGCCTGTTACACTGCTGATTGCTGCCACATGTCCCCGCTTAGTGCCAAGCCACAGATTAACTAACCTACAGTGAGCAGCCATCTCAAACAGAGTGGCGGCTGCTGACAGATGCCATACCATGGGTAGCCCAAGCACAGGCTCCCTGGAAGAAGACAGAGAGAGAAGGGGACAGAATGAGAAAGGCCAGATACACTTACCCAGAGCTTCATCATTGTCTTCTGTGTCACTGGCAAGCCGGAAAAGCATGGGCCTCATGCGCTCACAGCGCTGATACAGCTCCTGAGAGAGAGGAGAAAGGGGTGCTGAGGCAAGCAGCAGGATGCTCAGCTGGGGGTGCAAAACAGGCAGGAAGAACTTGAGGGTCACCCATCTCTGCTAAGCTCAGGGAGGATGCTGGGATGGGCCTTTCCTCACCTTCATTAGGTCCTCATTGCTCTCCGTTGTCTCTCCCCTGCTGTAGTTTGTCACCATCTCTGTCAGCAGCTTCACATTGTTGTTCACCTCCTCGATGGCATTCACCCTCTTGGAGATCTTCTCCATGCGTTTCTGGTCCTGGAGGGGAGGCATAGGGGAAAGGATGTCCTTGCTCCTGTCTGCAACTTGAAAAGGAGGAAGGCTGGGCCAGCCAACACCCCAACTCCCTGGTCTAAGCACAGCAATGCTGCCCTCAAAACAGTTCCCTCTCCAGTGGAAAACTCCAGATTGTCTCTGGGCCAGCACGTGCCAAACAGGGATGAAACTGCCACAGATCAATGCTGCAGCATGGCTTGGGCAACAGAAAGCACTCAGAGCCATTCCTCCAGGTAGCCAAGGGATGGCAGAAATGACACAAGGATTCTTTAGCAGCTGCTGCTGCAAAATTTTGGGCAGAAGCTCCATATGTCTGCATAAGGACAGAGAGCCACTGCTCCCTTGGTGCCAACCACTGCCATCCAGACCATGACCCCCAGCTCCCCTTCTCCCCAGCTGCACCTCCTGAACCATCTCCTTGATGAGCTTGTTGGCAGCCCGGAGGTCCTCAGGATGGGAACTTTTCAGGAGACGAGCCAGTATCTGCAAAAGAGAAGGCACCTCTGAGCCCGCACCGAGGTGTGGCAGCCAGAGTCACTCCTGCAACACCAGAACCAGCAGAGTTACCCCTGCCCCAAACCTGTATCTGGCAGAGGCAGCGGACAAAGCCAGATGTCTGAAAGCCCAGCCACAAGAGCTGGTGGGCTATCAGAGACCAGGGAGAGAAGAAATACAACTGGTCTTCCTTTTCCCGTTGTGGTTCTAGTTATGCAAGATAGGTCTTCCCCTGAAGATCCCCTGCATTCAAAACCTGCTCCTGCCTGCCCATTATGCACTATGGAGACCCCAGAGCACAGCAGCTCTAGTACTGAGAAAGACAGAAAGCCTGGGTTACGCAGGAATTGCCATAGGATTGCAATGGACTCCTATGCAGACCTCTTCACAGGTGCAATTGAAGAGGGAGAGCTCCCACTTTCTCTCCCCTTCTGTAGTCAGTGAACAGTCCCACTGGCCACCTACAAATCCTCATTTGCACACTGTAATCCATGGAGGCAAAATATACCCCCTGCAGCAAACTGGTGTCACACTTCTGCTGCAGAAGTAGACCCACAGGAGCCTAATTTATTGCTTAAATTTATCAGCACTGGTAAAGCAGAGGTTTGCCTGAGTGGTGACATAATTCTGATGGAAAGGCAATACAAGATGGGTCCAGGAAGGTATAAGTAGGTGGACAATAAGCAGATGGCAGTGCTGGGGGTGGGGAAGAGGTAACAGCAGCAGTATCTGGGGCTGGGATTTAAACCTCATGGACAGATAATGCAGAAGCCTGGAGACCACACAGCAGCAAACCTCCCAGAATCGCTGGGCTAATGTCAGCGCTTCACCCTTTGCACCATCCTGCAACTAAGAGCTCCAAAATTCAAACAGACCCACATGCCCCACCTCTGGCTGTTTTCTTTGTCATGATTTTGGAGTGGGCCCTCAGCATTCCTGTGATGCATTTTCTGAAGCACAGCATGTGGAGCAGGGGCCTTGAATCTTTCTGGATCTCCACCCCAGGAGGACAGGAGATCCTAGAGCAGGGAAGATGTTGCCTCCTGTGCCTCTCCTTGCACAGAACCCTTACCTTGGATTTCTCTTCATCATCAAAGATTATGTTCTTGGGCCGAGGGGGAGGAGGCGGAAAAGGAGCATCGTCAGGCAGTTTTGGGTCACATTTCACGATTCCTGCAGTAGAGATAAACAGAGAGGTCAGGACGACTCACCCACTGGGGCTGGCACTGCCACCTAGGTCATTTCTTCCCTAACGGGCCACCAAACCCAGCTGGGACTGAGGGGGGTTGGGTTTGCTCCCACTACCCATGATCCTGGATTTTATGCAAGAACTGTCTCCCACTCTCCATCAATATCCTATCTTAGAAAAATCATTGACGGCCAAAGCACTCACAGCCCTCCAGCCCCAGCCCCTTCCAGTGACCCATCCCCTGCAGGAGCAAGCAAGTGTCCCCTCCAAGCCATCAAACAACTCAGACCACTAGCAACAACCCCTGCCCAGCTAGGAGCCACAATGCACCCGCTCCTTCGCCTGCCCCTGCTGCTGAATCAGGCAGACTGGTGGATGTGTGGGTCTGGGCACAGGAAAGGGAGAGTCTGTTTTGGATTCTGCCCAGACAAAAAAGGAGGGAGGGCAAACCATCCGTCCACCTCCCCCTTCCAGAGCACTACCTCTCACCTTGTTTCTTCAGCATCTGGTAGGCTTCTGAGATCTTCACCTCGTGAGGCAGCCCTAATGTCCAGCTGTACATCAGCTCCAGGATCTTTGACTTCACTTTTTCTGGTGTCCGGCTGCCAAGATACTAGAGGAAGAGAGAAGAGGTGGCTTGAAGCTGATCTGAACCGTTGCAAGCCTGGCCTGTTCCTCTCCTCCCCTCCCCCAGGAGAAGTGAGACCGTTCCCAACGGCACACATAGGAGGAAAGAGGAAGCAAGCAGGAAAGCTCATGAGGCCCTTGCAACATGTCCTATGCTGCACTTGGTTTCCACCACAGGAAACACGAGAGGTGGGAGAAATGCTGCAGCAACAACGCCTCAATGACAAGCAGGGACAGGTGGGAAGGCTCAGGCAGGTCTCTGTTGCCTCATGAAGGAAAGGGTACTGCTAATGGAAGCTGCTTGGCAAGGCAGCCCTTCAGGAAGGAGGGGACAGCAGGGCTGGAAGGGGAAGGACTGTGGGTAATGGTCCCCGGGGCAGGGCCCAGCCCTCTCTCTCAGGGGCACTCTCCAGCACAAGGTGTCCGGCACCCTTTACAACTAGGCAAGCCTCAGACGATCAGCACCCAGTGGTGAGAACTCCAAACATTACAGCTCTCCCCCTGCCATACAATCATCCTCCACTCTTCTCCTGTGGGTCTGCTGGGGGCACTGGTGGTAGAAACAGTGCATGTGCCACCAGAGGCCAGTGCCTTACAGTAGAGGACATTCTCTAGTGTGCCTAGCAAGAGGACTTTAGGATGCTGCTGTCACTGTCCCTGACTATTTCTCATCACAGATCATAAGCTGTGAGTGGCAGATGAAGGTTTTCCTTAGTCATATTTAGTCTGTGTTCCCTTAACTCTATACTTGCTGGTATTAATTACCTTGACTGAACAGGAGAGCACACACAGCTTGTTCTGCTGCAGGAACCGCAGCATCAGCAGAAGAGCAGGTAATGACTTAGTGCTTCAGATGGACTTGCCAAAGCACCACTGACCAGGCCTGGGCTTGCCCTCTGAGAGTGTCTCAACAAGGTTGGGACACCCCAAAGAGACATGGTCATGACAGGGGAGGTCAAAGCTGGGGGAAGTTCCTGAGCCCATGCAGTACAGAGAGCGCCCAACAGAGATGCAGGAAAGGTGATTCCAGGCACGGAGATGAGCTCAGTAGTCTCACAAGTGCTGGTTGCATCATGTCTAGCTGGCCCTCAGCTTCCTGCATCAAGAATGAGCCGGGAGCAGAGGGGTGTAAGCTCACCTTCCCACTGGAAAACTCACCAGGGAACGAGGACTAAATTTCCTACTAGCACTGTTTTCCCCACATCCCAGTGGATGTTTGGCCTTTCTGCTCAGCCCTACTTCTTCCCAAAGCCCTCCTGCCACCAGGCTCTGGTGCCCTCCAGCACAACCCCCTGGAACCCACCTTGGGTGACACCACTTTGATGAGCTCATTGAGGAAGCGGAACTTGCCCACCTCATCATGGAAACGTTTGCCGCAGCTCTTCATGCAGGACTCCAACACCTGGGGAGAGGGGCCAGGTGAGCCCCGGCACAGGGTGAGCAGTGGGTTCAAGAGCCATCTCCCTCCTGCTCCCTCCTCGCCAGGCTCAGAGCCTGTAACTATCCTCACAGCAGGGTGGAGGGACACCATCTTTCCCTCTCAGGTGGCCAATCACCCTCCCAAAGGGAAGCAAGAAGATTTTCCTCTTTGGAGGAAACAAGAACAGCCCATGGAAGGGGATATCCTTAGGGAGTTCACAAATACTGGGGCTTCACAGTGTGGATCCACAATGACATTAAAGGAACAAAAAGCTTCCCATCAACTTCAATAGGCTATGATCCTTCCCTAGGAACAAGACCTTTCCTACCAGCCACCCCTCCTCTCTTGTGGAACCACCTTCAGCCCCTCTCCCACCCAAGGGCTCAGGTGCTCCAGGGCTTCTCAGACAGAGTTCAAAGCTTCCTGTGCTCCTCCAGTCAAACTGGAGCAACCCCACACTCTGGCCCTCTGTCTAGTTTCACCAGCCTGCAGATGCCCTTACCGTGAGAGCCTGGATAGCTTCCCATTCCTGTGGAGACTGGATCTTGTGGGCAAGAAGTCGTGTAGCAAGTGGAGGACTGGAAGGAGCAAGGCAAAAAAAAAACCTAGCTGGTTACTGATGAAAAGTACCTGTGTGGTACCTGGGTTTCTACCTGGGAATCCAGGGTTGAAGAGCATGTTCCAAGTTTAAGGCACTGCTAAGGCACTAAAACCATGTGGGAACCTTCTGTTAGTGGACCAGAACCCCGCACCCACCCCTACTTTGAGGGACTTTGTGCCTATTCAGCTCTCAGGACAACCCCACCGAATCTTACCAGGTGGGCAATCATAACCCAGGCCCACAACACAGAGCAGCCTGGAGGAAGGAAGAAGCACTTACCCTTCTAGCTCCTTATTGAGCTGTTCACAGAAAGCATTGATACCATCCCAGTCCAGGTCCTTGTTCAGAGGGTTTGTTGCTTTGTCTGCAGGTGGGAGAAGGGGACGGTGAGAAAGCCTCCTCAGGCTCCCACCCGCTGGAGGTGAGAGGCAATAATGCTCCCTGCTCCCTCTGTGCCAACTCCACTAGGTGCATCGACAGAGGATGGCAGGGAAGGCAAAAACATGCTCGTGTCCACTTGTACAAGCCCTGTACACAAACTCCCTCACCACCACCTCCCCACCGGCATGCCAGCGGCGCACACTGACCCACCGTCGCTGCACGGACCCCTGCCTGCATGTTCCCTGCCCCACGCTCGGCTGT